AATATCAAGTAAATTATTTATTTGATGTGAAGGCCCGTTGCCCGAAACGTCGTCTTATTTTTTATATTTTTTCCGTTTAAGGTCACCGTGTTGACGAACGTGTTTTTTTGTTGTTTGTCCTTTTGCACCACTGCCAACAACAGCATCACCGACTAATTCGTTAATTATTATAACCTCACGTCCTGTATGTACAGGACTGAATATTTCTCATATAAAAATATTGATGAGCTAATACTGTCATGAACTTGTGCTGGTTACGTACTTCATATTTTTAAAGAAAGATTCTGATTCTAGTCTGCTCAGAAAAAAAATACCATGCGATTTAGAGTTTACAATTTACTGGAGAGTCTGGCGTGACAATGTGAACGGATAATTTCCACAACACGTGGAGTTGCCCTATCAAGCCCAGACATTCACAGTGTTTGAAGCCCGTGGCTGTACAGATTCAAAGTACAGGTGGCTTACTCAAAGTCCAGGTGGCTTCATCCAGTCCACCTTTCCGGGTTATAAAATCCCCGTCACTCAAACGCGCAGGACACGCCACCCATCTCCCATGCGGTCCGCTGACTGGCAAATGCAGTAAGCGGGACCGGAATCCACTCCAGAATCCAGATGCAATGCACCACGGCTGATACGGCTCCTCTGTAAAGACCGTAGAGGCTTCACCCCGCCACCTTAACTCGAAATGGGCGTAAAAAAATAGAAAGTATCTATCAATGATCCCCTGACGTGCAAGCTTGGTTTATATTACTGAATAACAGAACTGATGGGAAAAAATGTGTGAAATCCCTGCGAATGCTTATTTGGTTTTATTTTAATGTGATTAGAAGGGTTGCAGGGTCATTTTGTGCTGAGACGCTAAAATAAATTAAACCCTTAATACATTAATCTGAGTCACTCGCACGCGGGGCCCTGATGATAATGAACAAAGCTCAATAGGCCTGGCACAGGCAATGGGCACAGGCCTTCATTAAGGGACTCATTAACTCGGCGGTGGATAGCTAAGCCTCAAAATGCACAACTGTAAAATCCCGAAGAAGTACTTTCAAAAATTCCACTGTTAAACTTCAACGGAGGAATTTTTTTATATTAAACTCAATAAACTGCCTTAGCAGCAAACCGTCCGCGCGCCAACTTCGAAGAATACTCGAGTAATGTGTTTTGTTGTTGTTCTTATAATCAGGATTTAAATTCGCGATGACTGCTGGCAACTGCAACTGTCAACCGCGTGCGAGTTACCGCACAAGGGGAAATGCGTCTGCGCACATCGGTCGCTCGCCCACGTGACCGATAATTACGTCGGGGGCTCGTTCGCTAACGCTGGAAGAGTGTCATTCTGGCAAGACTGCTGCAAGGCAATTACCAGCATGCCGATGAGTTAAATCAAATCATAACCACCACCACCCCCCGCAGATCCATTGTCGCCCGTTGCGTGTTGGGCAGCAGGTGTCGCGTGGAGGGACGAGGGCCGATGGGCGAGACTGGTGACAGAATGGCAGCCAAGGAAGGCAAGAGAGGGAACGCGCCAAAGAGGACGCACGTGTGTATGCACGTTGCAACTTCTTTCCCACCGTACGTAGCCAACCGTGCTAATTGTAAGGGAAGGGAAATCACGGCGGAGACAGAGCGGTGAGGTCAGCTGATGCGCGTACAAGTGAGATGGAACCAGGCATCACAGGACCATGCAAGTGATGGAACATGGGAGAACTTTATCTAGCAGTGGAGCGAAAATGGATAATGTCGACTGATGATTAAGTAGTAATGTGCCTGTCTTTTGGTATAGTAATATTTTACGAAATAATAAACAAAAATATACTCAATGTTTAACTATGTTACATATCAAATTACAGCCCTCTGTCAAACCAGAGGAAAATAAGGCCTCCCCCACACCGAGTGGTCATCGGGTGGTTCGATCATACTTCGCCACGCTGGTCAGCGTGAGTTGGTGAAGAGGGGGGGGCATGCAATCCCAGTTCCGACATCGCTCTCCGCTGATGATGTCTACGTTCAGGAATTTAACTCAAGCGACCGGGCTTCATCGCACAGTGCACAGTGCACAAATCACTGCACCGCCCCCGAAACTGTTGACATCTGTCATGGAATGAGTGTCCCGAAATACCGCGCGCGATTACCCGCGTGTCTTCGCCTCCGTTTATTCACTTTTGTTCGTCTGGGCCATGGCCCAGTGAGCCCAATGGGATTGCAAAGGGAGGCGAGCACACGGGTGCCACAGGGCAATGTAACAACTGCGGTGAGACCTTAACGTCAAAGGTGGGGGGGGGGAGAGGGAAGGATGTTGTAATGCACCACAACCAAATACAGTTCATGAATAAATGTTGATTCAGTGACACGGACCCCAACAGAAAAAGCCCATTCGTGTTTAACAATAGGCAGCCGGGATCTACGCCTGCAAACAACACCAGGCACGGCAGGCAGGCTGCTACCTCCATTGCAGAGCCACACTGTCTGCGATGGAGGTAGCAGCCTGGGCTGTGTGGCGACTTCAATTCGGGTAGCCGGCGTGCTCCACCTCGGGCTTTGTGAATTGCGCGTGTCACGTGTTAACACGACGTCTATTGACAAAAAGCCCGTTGCCAATCCGTTGCTGGTGTCATTGGCTTCGCCCCCACGCTGTTTCATTCACGGAGATTATGTATTTATCTATCATACTTCAGCATGCTGTACAATGCACGTTGGTGATGGGGAGTGCAGCCCAGAACTGGTTTTAGATATGGCGCACCACCGATGTTTGCCACAGCCCAGGTGAATCAAACTCAGGTTGCCAGGTTCATCGTGCAGTGAGTTGGAACGATGGTAACACCACTTCAACGCAGGTCGACGCAACATCAGACCATCACATTGCTACGTAGGATTGAGGGGCTGTTGTTGCAATGCCTTCTGAAACCCAATTAACACGAAACCTCAAGAGGGCAGCTTAGTGGTCTCCTCATGCTGCTGCTCAAATGAGACAATGCTCATCTCCTGTGTACAGCCCTGAGCCAAAAGAGGGAATGTCCACATTCCTCTGACAGGGGCGGGTCTCTCCACTGGACAACCAATGTTGGCTTCCACTAAAAGTGGTACCTACTTTGTCACGACTGGGCTAACCTTCTGCAACGGGTCTCAAAGGAGTCACCGGTAACATGCATTTTGACGTCAAATCACTTCCAATAAAACATTTACTGATACTTGAGGGGTTACGTTTCGACAATCTTTTTTTATTCCAGCGTTTGTAAAGCTTGTTATTTTGTGATGATGGTTACTTGGCACGTCTAAAAGCAGCCTTCACCTGAAGAGTTCAGGTAAACGAAGTTCAAGGCGTGACCCATTAAGTGACAGTTGTAAAACATTTTCACCTCAAAGTCATAAAAAGGGGAATGAGCCCCAAGCGTAGTTGCTTTTATGACCCCACACAGTCAAGTTTCCCCAGCTGCGACAGCACTCACAACGCCACCACCACCATCACCAGAACAAAGACAAAGACCCCCCCTGTTTCCGAGACTGCGAGTGGCAAGCACCCATCAATGCTGACGCTGGGTACAAGGCGTTGGTGTGGCCGACGCTTCCCCCGGACGCGTTTGACGGTTGCATGCCGCAATCAGGTGCTGAGAGTGGGTGTCCAGGTACGAACTTCTGATATCATTCACCAATGATGCTAGCCGTGGCCAGGAATGGAGCTCGGATAGCCAGGTTTGTAGCGCTGCACGCCAATCACTACACCACCACTCCCCACACCAAAGACAAAGATTTCCCGTATAGCCTTAAGAGTGTTGGGGCAAGTGCTGTTAACGAGCAGCACCTATGAAGGCCGGCACAGTAAGCATGGGGGTGGGCGGCCAGCATCACACCGCCTTTGTCTCCCCAGTGGTGATGTTTGCACACCGCACCAGGTACTCATTTGAGGCTGAGTCGACCTAGGGGAGGGCCAGGACCAGTTCAGATAATCGTTACTGGTGCGGCGATGAGCGGGAATCGAATGCAGCTTGCGAACCATTACACTCCCCACACTACACACATGCGTACATACACGCACGCCGAGAAAACTCACTTCACGCCTTGGATCATGTGAACATACGTCACACGCGGAAAGGCATTTTTATTTAATCTTATTTTACTAATGTTTGCAGTACGCTTTTATTGATCCATTATCAGATTTGACCTCGTGCCACGTGTGGTGCACTGTATGCCTTTCGTGTCCTACATCTCACTTGCAGACTTTTTGACTCAATGTGCTCTCACTAGGCTTTGAGGTTTTACTTATACCTATCTCCCTGCCCCCCCCCCCCCCCCCCATGGTCTCATGGGGAACCCACTGCCGTCGAAGGTCATGGTCCAATGAACAACATGAAGCACCCACCCCCCTATTTAAATGTCTCTCCTCTCCGTACCCCGAAGACCCCCGCAGCCCATAACCCCTCTGTCTATCCCCAACCCCCCCACCCCCTTTTCTAGGTCATGTTGCACTGCCTGCACTCAACAGCTACAGTTCTGACTGAACTTTTTGGTGGCCTTAGTGTGGCTCTATGAGCCACAGCGATTAACACCGAACCCAGCAGCATATTGCAGTTAGGATGAGCCTTGGTGAAAGGATTTAAATGGGTGCCTCCCCTCCCCACGGACAATTTGCCCGACTCTTCAAAGCCTGTCATCTGGGCCCCTCTAGCTCATGGGCTTTGGCGCAGTTGCACGAATACAAGCCTTTTTATAAGTCTAGAGGTCTCTGTGCGAGACTATGGATACCTGTGCGAGTCTACGCAGCTCTGTTTGAGCCTACGAGTCTCTGCTTACCGATGCGTCTCGTTGTCAGTGTGTGTAGGTCTATGGCTCTTCATGCAAGTCCACGGGCCTCGACACCAAACTTGGTAACGCTCGTCCAACTGCCCCCCCCCCAACCCCCTTTCCCAAGGCCGGGGGCCTGGGCCCTCCTCCCCGGTGCGGCTGCACCGCCTGCGCGCACACCCCACTCTCCGGCCAAAGACGCCCGGCGCCCGCGAGCTCACCTGGACGATGTCGAGCACCATGCCGGCGGCGACCATGCCGAACCCCGCCAGCAGGAAGGGCAGCAGCACCTGCATGCCGATGGAGAAGGCGGACTCCTTGTGGGTGCTGTGCGTGTCAACTTCGGTGCTGCCAACGTCGTCGCTCTCCGTGGCCTGGCTGCCGCTCTCGAGCAGGGCGTCCTCCTCCTGGGCGCTGCGCACCTCCGCCAGCTCTACGCCCTCCACCTTCCGGCCACCGCCACCGCCGCCGCCGCCATCGGCGCCAGGACTTTCCTGTCGGTCACCTGGCGGGGGCGGGTATGGTATCGGCGGGGTGAGCTCGCGGGATGTGAGAATCTCAAAGGCGTATTCGTTTGTTAATTCACCTGCTTATTAGGAATATACTATTTGTAATTTCCATAACCGAGTAATTTTATTAGACAGAATTTTCCATTTCAATATAAAAAAAAAATATTCAAAACATTACTGTCCATCTCTCCATGTTGCAGTCGGACGTTTAAACTGCGATACTTACATTTGTTCATCTATCCATCCGTTATTATTTATAATAAAAAATATTAATTATAATACACTGACAACAAATTTAGCTCATTGACCGGCTTGTGCTTGTTGGTGTCCACGTTGCAATTGGTTTTCCGTTTTTCCACATTCATTCAAACGCGTGAAGACGAGACCGCTCGTCTCAACTAATCAAACACACGGACATCCAATCGCTACGTCCACATGATAACAAGAGATGTTTAGACTCCAATGTACTCCCGCGCTAAACTAAAACTAACAAAAAAACTATGTTTATTTTACCAGGTAAGACCCATTGAGCTGTATAGCTCTTTTTCAGAAGCGATCTGACCACAACTGGTAGCTCCATTAAGTGGTTTATCACGTGGAAATGTATAGGAGCCAAGTACTCTAAGCGTATGTTTCTAAATGTGGCGCGGAAAACCGGGAGGACACGAAGAAAAAAGATGTTCACGCAACCACGGGGAGAACATGCAAACTCCAAATATTCAGGCATCAGGGTCGGGATCGAACCCACGACCTCCTGTATACCAGGCAAGGTAGTTAGCATCTCACCAGCTCATAATTGTTGTGGGGTCGATAAAAACGAGCACTACTTTGTGGGATGTCAACAATCACACAATGCGATTGCCTCCCCCCTCCGCCCTCCTCCCCCAAAAAATGGGGAATATCCACCGCTGGCATTGGGCCATCAGTGGGGAAGGGGAAGAATGCCTCTGCAGAACTCAACTGAGCGGGATTCCACTTGGACTTGTGACTCAAAGAATAAACACAAACCTGCCGCAATATAAAACAAACCTTTTATGCGCTGGAACAAAAAGATGAAAGAACCGAGTTGGCAACGGGGCTCAAGCGTGCACACGCAAAAAAACATTCCCTGCGTAAGCCGAAAGTGCCACTTGCAGTCACCAGTCACAAACCCGGGGCCCACGCAGTAATGCCACCGCCCTTCTGGCTGTCGCCTGACGAGGCTGGTTTGAATTACCGGCGAAACGTCGCGGTACTCGAACTGTTAATGTTGTGGGTTTACACACCGGTGTGCTGAACTAGTAACAAATTGACATGTTTTGTTCACGTGACAAACCTTACTAATTGTCGGTTTGTGGCGGGTTTAACGACAGATTTATATTTATGCGATCTAACCAAAATAAACCTCTATTGTGGCGACTGCCCTCTTCTATAATTTGCCCGTGGGTCTCTCCACGTGTCTACGAGTCTCTGTGCAAGTCCACGAGGTCTCAACGCGAGTCCGTGGGTCTTCACGCAAGTCTACGAATCTTCAGGCGATTGTGAGTCTCAAGCAGCGGACCATATTGTAATGCCGCTGTCCACTCCACTCATTCTCCGAGAGCAATTCAGTTATTGACCATGAGGCTGCTCCTGAAGCCGCCCGGTGGCTCACTTACTAACCTCGACATGAACAAATAAACGTTCCTCATCAACTCCCCGCCATGTGAAAGCGGAAGATTGTTAACCCTGCCCTACGAAGAGAAATAGATGGTCGGCTGATGTTACAGGCAATAGCCCTTATTCAGAGCGGAGAGAACGAGATAGATTTATTTTACAGCCTTTGAGATTGCGCTTCATCTGAGGCCTCGAAACATTTTTTTATTTGTTAAATTTGTCAAATTAATCGCTTCTTGTGTTGCATAGAGATGGCCGGGAGCATGCGCAACACAAGTTTACGCAGTCCAGAGAAGTGATCATCATCATCAGCTATGATCAATGCACTACTGGATGAAGAGCTCCCTCCCCCCCCCAAGCCACTACCGTTCCTTGTGGTCCCACAATGCATTCATCTGTGAAGCACCCGCAAACGAGCCAAATTCCATCACTCCATCTCCACGAGTGACGCACTCTCGTGTTGCGTTCCCTCCGTTGGCTCGAGCCCTCCGACTTTAGTCTCGGCCGCTATTCCATCGAGCGGCGTAGCATTGCCGCCTCAGCCCGTTTTACTTTGTGAACGTCATGCGTGGCAGCGGGGGGAGGGTGGGAGGTGAGGGGGTGGTGGGGGGTGGGGAGGAAAAAGAATACCGAGAAAAAAAAAATCCACACGGAAATGCAGACAACGTGGTCCATTTATAAAGGGGCCCCACGCTTTATTTAGACGGCACCAACTTTTCCCTTGCGAGCAGGTGGCCCAGGGGACGCAGGATGCCGGCCCAGCCAACTCGCCCGCCCTCTTTGCTTTACTTTTATTCGTCGTCCCGGCGTTTCGGAGAAACGAAGGCCTGCCACGCCTGTCGCGGCAACCGTTGAAGGCCCACCCCCCCCCCCCCACAGGGCGCTCTTCCAGCTCCGCTGCTGGGGGTGCCGTGAGCGTGTGGCGGCGCTCTATAGTTAGCGCCAGAAACGGCTGAAAAAAACGAACGCGGCCCCCAAACATTGCCTGGGCAGAGGTCTCCTCGTAGCTGGGTTTGGCTGACGCTGGGGTTTACACTTTGATAGAGGTGGGGGGGGGGGGAGTGGAGAGTGTTTTTGGTTACGCGGCAGGCCGAGGAGATGTGCGATGGGAACAAGTAAACCCGTAAAAACAAAGTTTTTCACTATAAATCCTTTATATGCCACCTATGGGTCAGATGATTGTCTGCCACCATTAAGCAATTTGTAATTAAATATTTAATTTGTTTTCCCTAAACAATGTAAAATTTTGAATTTTTTTCACGAAAATTAATTGGCACACACAACGAGTCTGTGTGGGAAATGTCAGCTCGATTGGATCACGGGAAGTGGGTTAAAAAACGAGCGAAAGATTTGCACGGTCCTAAGCAAGCAAGCGAACTTAGCATAAAGGATTTAAAAATATATTCGCCTGTGGAGGACGCGGGGATCGATCCCGCGACCTTTGGCATGGGAAGCGAGGGCGCTACCAACTGCGCTACTCCGCCACGGCCTGTGGAGGGGTTACGCTCTGGGCTCTTACACTCTGACGTTCAGCCAAAGCCATGAATGCGTTCTATTTGAATATATGTAAAATCATTTTTTTTTGCCTAAAAAGTGTAAAATTTTGGGAATTTTTTTTCACGAACAATAATTGTCTGGCACAACGAGTATGTGTGGAAAATATCAGCTCGATTGGATCACGGGAAGTGGGTTAAAAAACGACCGAAAGATTTGCACGGTCCTAAGCAAGCAAGCACGCGAACTTAATATAAAGGATTTAGAAATACAGGGATTTTGATGATTATGATGACGATGACGTTGAAGAAAATCATTACGTTTATTGGTAATGATGGTGAGAATAACGATGACATAGTTGATGACGATGGTGATGAGGATTGCTGCAACTTAATCACAGTGCTGTTGTGTTAAGATCCAGGGGAAACCGTCTCTTGCAGCAAGGGAGATTTGGGAGACTTACAATGGGAAGAATACACGATCATGACGATGATGATCACTACAACACAATCACAATAGCTCCGGGGTGAACTCTGAATAAGACACTTGTTGAAATAAAACTCAACACATTCGTCAATAACATGGACTTAAAAGGAAATGTATATAAAATGGCACTTCAGGCAATTGTCCAACGTCATAGAAGACCAACGCACTCTACTTGGGAAGTTCCCTGCCTAAGAGCCATGGCTCACGGTCCCTCCGTGTTTTTTTATTCCACTCGCATCACCACGCTGCTTACTACATGTTCGTTGACTGAGAGGAGGTCGGTCCAACTGGTTTCCCATCGCCAACAACGTCGTTTGGGTGACGCGGTCACCAGCCAACAAGTCAAGCGGTGGCTTGCACCGCAGACGCATCACACACGGCACACGAGAACAAAACGCGGGCCCATTGCCAACAATCGGTGCCCAAAGCCTCGCTCGCCTAGGGCCATAAACCAGGGGAGAAGTGGTTCTCCGTCTCCTTACTCAGCAGCGCTGTTTGGGTGGCACCGTCGTCACCACCGTGCGACGTCACGATGCGGCGCGTCGACCCGAGCGAGCGGCACCACGGACGCATCGCCAGCGGGCCCCGACACGCTCTCCGACCGGCGCGTGCCCACGGCGGCTCACCTCGCTCACCCGCAGCGGCACCGTTGAGCAGGACGATGGCCGTCTTGGCGGCGGTCTGCGCCGGCGGCTGCTTGCCCTGCGCCGGCGCCTGCTTGCCGGCGGCGGTGTCGGTGGCGCCGGGCCCCTCCGTGCCCTCCGTGTACACCCGCCCGTTGCCCTCGGACACCACCTCGGTCGGCGTGCGCCCGCTCAGCTCCTGCAGCACCATGGCTCCGCCTCCGCGCGGGCGCCCGTGCTCGTGGCGCCGTCGCCGTTCCCCGCGCCGTCTGGAACGATGCCCGTCTCTCGGTTTCTCCTGGCTTGGCCCGCGGGCGACGTGGCGGGGTCGGTCGGTGGATTCGTCCGCTTGTCGGTCTGTAGCAGTGTGCGTTTGCTGTGACGCTGGGGCCTAGAAAGCCTTCACGAGAGCTGGGACGATGCCCCTAGCTGTTGAAAGACGATGACAACAGTGACTGCCTTGTCATCAACTATTCGGAGAGTAGGCGTGTTAATGAATATCGGTCGAAATAGATTGTTATGCTCAAAATATGTGCAACGTATCAAGTGTATGAGAATTGGTCACTTGTGATTCGTGGAGAAGGAAATGCAAATACGCCAGAGTTTGCATGTAGACTTACTGAACGGATGAAATGGTGTAAATCAATTGGAACAAACTCGAAATTATACAAAATAAGATGGATAGGCAAAAAACTATCTATCCTTTAATTAAATCACAACCCCTGAACCGTGACAATTCATTTAATCGGGTGGGGGTTGACTTGTTACTTTATCATCAAACAGCGTGCCTCTAGTGAACAATATGACTCTAAGCCCTTCTAAATCCATTGCTGGATTAAGACCACCCCACGCCATGTCAGTCACAAGGGTTTATTTGGCCGTACTTCAACACGCTGGTCGGTGAGCAGAGGGTTGGAGAGTAGAACTGGTTCAGACATCAATCGCCATTGACGTGCCGCAATGGGTGGGAATCGAACTCAAAGCCGCTGAGTTCAGACCACCGTGTTTGGACCACTGCACCACCACTCCCGAAATAATAAATACGTTTTCGTACAGCGCCTTTAGTTCGCGTATCACCTCGAAGGCGCATCGCACATGTCACTGCGACCGATACGCCTTGTTATGTAAACTCAAGGAGGTACCGCATTCAACCTATGACTGCCTAACAGACTCATCTCAAAGTAAACCAAGCACAGTTTGAAAGTCCCCTGTGAGAGAGCGAGACAGACTGACTTGCGTGTGCTGAAGCCCGACCGACAACCAGACGCAAATTTACACGACGAAAGTTGGAATTCCAAGACTGTTACATAATGTCTCAGCCAACAGTGGCAAAAACTCAACAAGTGCCAGCCAGATCGGTTTTCCAGGAGATACGATGCCAATGATCGCAGCACCCGCGAAAGGTTAAACGCTTTAACGAGTTAAATAAGATTTATACAGCCGCGGGCCTTTAATGTCAGCGGCAAAACAGCTCTCGGGTTCGTTTCTTCTGGTTGTATCGCCGCTTGCCGTTCCGCAAAACGACCGACGCTTCACTCCACAAGCCGGGAACTTCTTCAGGAACTCCCGGCACGGGGAGTGAAGCGTCGGACATTCGTGCCGAACAGCGCGCGGTGCAACATGAAAACACACCGGAGGGATACGCCGTACAACCGCGAGAATCTTACACGGTGGTACATGCAGCGTTTTTACAATTGACGCGTTCCATCCTCGGAAGCCAATGCAACTGTTTCAGTATTGAACAGCTTCACAACCGCTAATCTCCCGTTCCATTTTTCTCGTTCGTAAAGTGGGCAGAATCGCCATCGTTCGCCCAAGAACGTCAGTGGAGGTGCCGCTTCAACATTGCAATGTGTTGAGGAAATCTGCTGGCGAGTCTGCGAACGCTCGACGTAAACGCCAAGGAGCGCGCGACGCCAGCAGCACGTGTGCCGAGCGCATGTATAGCGGCTCGGGTTGCCACGTGTATATATACGTCGCCGGCGCTCGGATTTCAGCAGCGCGAGCTCGGTTGTACCACTGCACTTGGACCGACAACAAACGCCACCCGACTTAAAGCGCCTATGCAAATCGATGCAATTATTATTCGGCGCACCGACAAGCCACGGCAGCGTACATGAAATACGCTCGAATGATAGCGCACTGCTATAAATGACCGTTTGAATCGAAAATTTTGCGTTATTAAGAATCGGCCCTTTATCACTCCACTGCTGGATTTTGGCCACCTCACGTCGTATTGGACATGTGGGGTTGTTTGACAAAACTTCACTATCCTGGTCACCGAGGGTTTGTGGAGGACGGGGAGGGGGTCCCCAGTACCGTTTCAGAAATAGCTCGCCACTGATGTTAGCCGTGGCCGGGAATAGAAGTCAGATCACAAAGTTCATAACACAGCGAGCTAAACACTGCTGCACCACTCCTCAAGCACATTCTCTTTGGGAATCCGTACATTGAAAGACGTAAGCATCGCACGTTATAATTTTGCTCATAAGCATATAACATCCATCTGATAAGCCATGGTTAAATATGACAAACTTACTTTCTAACAAACACAAACCCGTGTATGCCCTCTGGCCATCTCGTCGCTTTGTCCGTAAACCTGTTAAATAAAATTCACCACCTAATTGGCTCTTTTTTTTTATCCGTGACCGCAACAATTACCCCTTTTAAATTCAGCCTCTGGCAGGAGCAGCGGCACCAGCAGCAGCAGCAGCAGCGTCGGAACGAAGGCATTTAGATAATGGACAATTTGGACGCGGTGCAAAGCCACACTGCACCGCATCGTGACGACGAGGGCCTGAATGCAAACCTGAGAGCGAAGCTTGCCCGAGAGCTTCAACGGCAGATGGAATCTCGTCCCACCGATCAAAGTGCCGTCCGGAGACATCGCACGTGCATTTATACAGGACGCCGTGGTATGAGAACAAATATATATATAATTAATGAATAAAAACTTGTGATAATTAATCGAGGCGCATGTAATATTTAACCTTCAATGGAACAACAGCTGCCCCCCACCAGCCCCCGCCCCCCAACAACCCCTCACCGACTTGCATAGTGCTTACGACACCACATCATTAAAATGAACGCATACTGTATTGCAAATTAATGCACAATCGAAAGTTAATATGTAAAACCAGCATCGATTATTTAAGGATCACCCAGTCCTCCTGTAACATCAGCGGAAATACACAAGCAGAATCGTCTTGCTGCAGCGCTTTAAAATGCATGAACATTTCCGCTCGGCGTCTCTTTACAAACACTGCAAGTGGCAAAATAAAAGCATTCAAGGCAGCCTGAGCACTAGGACGTGGTCGCGATGCAAAAGTTAAGGTCGCAGAGAGGAAGTGAGTGATCAACCCTCCTCCTCCCGTGGGTAACAGCAAGCAGAGTTACAAGTGTAGCCTTTGCCTACCTGCCGGCATTTAATCAGGCAACACAGTCCTTTTGACACGCACATTTTGTTTACCACAGGAAAACCGAAGAGGTTTTATTTGCACGAAATAATTGTTTTCGATCGTAACGATATAAGCGATTAATTCGAAATAATAATTTTCAGCCCATTCAATTCACTGCTTGACAAATGGCATCCACCATACCACGTTGGTCATATTTTTGGAAAAGCTGGCAAAGTTCTGGTTTGGTGGAAGGACCGGTTTCGATACCGTTCGCTGGCAGTTTCAGTCCGTGGCTGGGAAGGGAGCACAGGACCACAGGACGCCAGGTTCAGAGCGCGACATGCTTCCGCCACCACAGTTGGGTTGTGAACACACGTTTCAAAATGTAGGACGGGATTCCGGTGACGGTAGAGCCGGTATCGGTGCCCTTAAGCAGGGTCCTGAATGTCCACTTGTCGCGTATATAAATGTGTTTTCGCGGCGCGGATTTCATTTTGACAAAACCTCTCAGAAATATTCCAAGAGCAGAATTTCTTGCTCTGCTGGTTTTCGCACATTCGCGTTACATTTTTTTCTTTTAGAAAGTTAAATGCCTCTGTGCCAGTGGACTTTAACAAACGGGAGATGGCTGCAAAGTTTGCCTTAAATGACCATGTGACAGGAGTTCTGGTTTCACAACCAACCAGCCAGTGTGTGCTCTACGTCCGCAAGCGCCGCTGGTCGCTGGGGTTTTCCAAAAGTGTGGCACAAATCCACGGTACTTCTTGAACTCAAGCAGCACAGCGCCGACGCCTACCACACGGTAAACACCACCGCGGTGTGCCAGTGTCCACCGCTGGGAAGTCAACTTGGTGCGATGGCACGAATCTGCTGTGCCACGGAGTGGGGCCACGGGCTTGAGTCCAGATTTGCCAGCTGCTAGCACCAATGATCGAAGGGGTGTCTTTAGTGCATCTGTTACCAACACTCCCAACGTAGGGTTAAATCGGCGTGACTACTCATAACAAGTGAACAACACGAGAAATTAAAGACACATTCAAGCTTGCGAATAAATCAGTCGATGACAAATCCGTTGTTGTGCTGTACATGTATGCTCCCGTGTCTATGCTCCTCAACTTCACCAACTCAAGACTGACCAGCGTGCTGACGTGTGATCAAATGAACCCAGTAACCAACCCGCAGTCTGGAGAGGGCCTTGTCCCTATCTGTGTGTGCTCAGAACTACAACATTACGCTTTGAAACATTACAGTATTATGATTGTGATGCAATCCTTGCAGTATAGATACAGTATACCGATGTGTCTTACAAATGTAGACGTCATACATTACTTGCCAATAATTATCTGTACTACAATGATTTTGCCATATACACACAATTCCACATTGTCTTCACGTGGAATCACACCCATCACGTTCTTACAGAGCAGGTTGATATGATGCATCACAAGGCCCATTTCATCGTCAAACCCATGATCAATCCACCGCTGGATCAAGACATCCTCAAGCTGTCGCTATTGTGCGTCAGTTTGCAATGCCCTAACCCGTATGGCGCCTGCACACCAGCCGATTCCATCGTTCCATCTCAGCAGAGGTCCGTCCCTCCGTCGGCTTAAAATCCACCACGTTAACTTGCAACCCGCCCGGGCCTTCTGCCGACGTGTCCTGTGCACAAGGACACTCACTTTTTGATTTAAAGCTTTCGTGACTGCAGGGATTGATATTCTTGGTTCTTTCCGTAAAGTCACGGAGAAGGGAAATAATAAAATAATACAAATAAAACAATAAAATTCTCACGACGTTTCGATTGCAACACAAGCAATCATCATCAGGTGTGAAACCCACAGCAAGACAATTTGAACAAAAAACAAGAATATGAAGGCGATGTGCGACGTCTCTCTAACTTGCGTGCGAGCTTTCTCGTCCACGTGTTCTTCTCCACGTCCCCATTAGTGCATAATCCACGTGCTCTCGTCAACACGGGACCATGTATTGCGTGAACAATACTCGAGTCTATGCCACGCATCGCTAGTCGTATATTTTAGATGCATTCGAAATATCTGTTATCCAGCAGTGGTTTTCCACGGTTGGATACGTACGGTGCGAAAGAAGTCCCACATGCATATTGGCCGAAGGTGATAATGTGACCCATTCATTGTTCTGCTTTAGCTATTCCGGTACAATATTTGAATATCCTTAACCGATATGTATGCGCGTGCAAATGTTAAACGGGAAGCCAATTAACATTTAGACACATATAGTAGGTAGTAGGTAGGCCACTGTCCATGACTGATATGCCCGTACCAAGAAAATCAATGTCCATGCCGAGTATATCGATACCCTGTATGCCCATACCCAGTACAAAGACAAAGATCCCCCGTATAGCCTTAACAGACTGTAGGGGAAAGTGCTGTTAGCGAGCACCTATGAAGGCCGGAACGGCACACGAGGGGGTGGGTTGTCAGCACCACGCCCGACCGCCTTTGTCTCCCAGTACGGTACTGTATACACATACCCTGTATATTCTTAGCAGGTATATACACATGCTGTTATAAATACCCGGGCACTGGTAAGTCAGTTTCCACAGCCGGTATATTCAACCGGATGTGTACTACGAATACCTTCAGCAGTGTGCTAATGCCATACCCGGATACAGAGACCTGCACATCACTGCCAAGAGGAGGTTAATAGGTCAATATGCCTGGCGGGTACAGCAATAACCCAACTAACTATACGCACGTGTCAATGTGTATCACTGCCCATACCCTACCAGCTAAGGTGCTAGTAGGTATATCCTAAGATCTAGATATCCATTGAGTGTACGTCATCTGCCCTTGAACATCACTGCCACTGGCTAGTACGTCAAGGTGTGCTATACCTTGGTGGATACCTGTGCCCGTAAGCGACAGTCAATAAGTGGCCGTTGTCAAAGGGCGTCAATAGCCCGTGCGTGATGATGGCGAGTAGCCGGTAGGTGTATCCAGTACGTAGTCGTGAAGATACCTGGACTTGTAACACCACAGTCCATGGGCCGACAAGTGGCCGTGGTCGACCAAGTGTGTCGATGTCCCACCCCTGTCAATATCCACAGTCCGTGCCGTTACACAGGGGACGGGCGTAGCGCTCACGCACGGCCACGTGTGGTGGTCGTGGTGGTGGTGGTCGTGGTGGTGGTGGTGGTCGTGGTGGTGGTGGTCGTGGTGGTGGTGGTGGTCGTGGTGGTGGTCGTGGTGGTGGTCGAGGTCGTGGTGGTGGTCGTGGTGGTGGTGGTGGTGGTGGTGGTCGTGGTGGTGGTGGTGGTCGTGGTGGTGGTGGTCGTGGTGGTGGTGGTGGTGGTCGTAGTGGTGGTGGTCGTGGTGGTGGTCGTGGTGGTGGTGGTCGTGGTAGTTGTGGTGGTGGTCGTGGTGGTGGTGGTCGTGGTGGTGGTCGTGGTGGTGGTGGTCGTGGTAGTTGTGGTGGTGGTCGTGGTGGTGGTGGTCGTGGTGGTGGTCGTGGTGGTGGTGGTCGTGGTAGTTGTGGTGGTGGTCGTAGTGGTGGTGGTCGTGGTGGTGGTCGTGGTGGTGGTGGTCGTGGTAGTTGTGGTGGTGGTCGTGGTGGTGGTGGTCGTGGTGGCAGCAGTAGCAGTGGGTGACACATACCCACGAGCCCACCTCGCCCGGCCACGTGTGTGTGGTGGTGGTGGACGTGGTGGTGGTGGTGGCAGCAGTAGCAGTGGGTGACACATACCCACTCGCCCACTCGCCATGGTCTCCCCCCGCGTCCTCCTCTCTCGAGCCGCAGCCTCCTCGCTGGCCGCGTGTCGAGCCCGTCCACGGCGGCGGCTGCAGGCCCCACCAGACACCCGCTCGCTCTCTCTTCTCTCACTACTTCACGCTCGTCCCATTACATCCTCCTCCTTCCATGCTGCCCACACCACGGCCACTGCCGTGTCGATACACGAACTGTGGTTTAATATTGCCCGCTGCTGCTGCTGCAGGAGGAGGAGGAGGTGCACCAGCGCCTGTAGCCGCCCCTGCTGCGGCTGCTGCTGCTGCTGCAATAGTCGTAGCAACTGGAGCAGCTGGGACAACAGCGGCAGCAGTGGCCGCAGCAGCAGCGTTCGTCCCGGCCCCATTGAGTCCCCAAGTCACCCCCCCACCACCTTCCCCCCTCCCCCCCACCACCCCCCACCTCCCCCCCCCCCCCACTTCCCCTCCCCCCCACTTCCCCCCACCCCTCCCACTTTCCCCTCCACGCAGCGTGTAACAAACCCCCCCACCCCAGCAGCGCAAGGCTCGCGTGACGTCACAGCAAGCTATTGGATGACGTAGTGTTTAGGCCGCGGCACGCGCTCGCCAAATCTCCGAGTGACGTCGTGGCTCCGTCTCGCGGACACGTTGCCGTTGGGATGACGTCATGTAAACCGCGCGGTGTTGGAGAAGTGGCGGGTGGGGATGGGGGTGCGTGAGGGGGGGTGCTGTGACATCATCGTTGCAAGATGTTGGATGACGTCATGTTTTGAGCGCGTGGGGTTTGTCGCCGGGGTGACGTCATTATAGTTTTAATTCTCAGTATGAATTGACATCGATGGCTTGAGCTGGATTTAATTAAAAGTTAAACTCATGACAATAAAACTCATTAACACCAGCAAAAACATTCGGCTACAAAAGGAAGGTTGTGATTTAAATTCCCTCCGATGTGTTTAAAACTAGTAAAGTACCACGACAAGTTCAAGTTCATGTATTTGGTGTAGCCCTGTGAGCCATTGGGCTCTTGAATCGGGTGCAACCGCAACAAACAAAAACATGAACAAGAAAACATCTTAAAGTGACTATGTGCAAACAGAAAATCCAGGGAAAAAAACAGCAAAAATTCCAGAAAAAATCACCGTACACCAACGCTGTGTTCAAAAATCCCAGTGGAATGCAAGTCAAACAACAACAACAACAACAACCACAAGACAACTTAGATTAAGGCCATCAGTCTAACTCCGTACTACAACAAACAAACAAACATGGCCAAACCAAACAACTTTTCGAAATCACCAAAAATAAAGCCATAAGCAATTGTCCATGTAGGAGAGGCTCGCCCCCTGCCATAAGAATGTGGAATTTCCACCAACTCGCTCAGGGCTGGCGACAGGGGAGATTGCCCACCGTGTTAAATGCTCACATGAGCAGCAATTCACGTTTTAATCGGTGTCAATATATTTACCTTTTGCTAGGGCCACAGTGTTATCGACTCACGTGTCCATTTAGTTCATGTTACGCTATTTGCAACAACAACAACAAAAAATAAAATCAATAAAATAATAATATAAGCAAACATTGCCTCCGTGGTCCTTATATGGTGTGGGGGGCGTGGCCTGCAAGCGGTGACGTCACGCGGGGGAGAGTTCAAGGTTCGCCCGGCAGGAGTCATGGCCTCCGAGAAGCAGCGTGGTGGTGGTGGTGATGGGATGAAGCGTGGTGGTGGTGTTGGTGAGGGGATGGAGCGTGGTGGTGGTGTTGGTGAGGGGATGGAGCGTGGTGGTGATGTTGGTGAGGTGTTGAAGCGTGGTGGTGGTGAGGTGATCGAGCGTGGTGGTGGTGGTGGGATGAAGCGTGATGGTGTTGGTGATGTTGGTGAGGGCATGGAGCGTGGTGGTGGTGAGGTGATGGAGCGTGGTGGTGATGTTGGTGATGGGATGAGGCGTGGTGGTGGTGATGGTGATGTTGGTGATGGGATGAGGCGTGGTGGTGGTGAGGTGATGGAGAGTGGTGATGGTGAAGCCTCTCCCGGCCACGCCAACACCAGGCGAGGCGTCACCGTGTCCCGTGAGCTGCTGGGCGTCAAAGGAGGCCCTGGTGAGCGAGCGAGCAGTGCGATGTGGCGTAGGCTGATGCTGCTGATGATGGTGCTGTAGTCATTGCTTTCATGGCTTTATTTTGGTGATTTCGAAAAGTGTATTGGTTTTAGATTTGAAGCTTTCGTGACTGCAATGATTCATATTCTTAGGTTTTTTTCGGTAAAGTCACGTAGGTAAAACATCAAAATTAATTTTGATGTTTTACTTTACCGAAAAAACCTAAGAATATGTATTGGTTTAGCCATGTTTGTTTGTTGTAGTACAGAGTTAGACTGATGGCCTTAATCTAAGTTGTCTTGTTGTTGTTTGGCTTGCATCCCACTGGGATTTTTGCACACAGCGTTGGTGTACGGTGTTTTTTTCTGCAATATTTTGCTGTCTTTTCTTGGATTTTCTGTTTGCACTTAGTCACTTTAAGATGTTTCTTGTTCATGTTTTTTGTTTATTGCGGTTGCACCCGATTCAAGAGTCGAATGGCTCACAGGGCTATACCTAATAAATGAAAACTTGAAACTAGTCAGCCATGCCCGTGTTCTCTCAGACACTCAAATCACGGTGAAGTCACGAATTCTATGAGTCGTTAACAGATATGCCGCTGGTGCGTTCACGGTTGTCTGCACTTCATCTCCTCTGCTTAATCGCCGTGTTATGTCACCCACATGCATGGGGGAGCTAAGCAGGAGGGAGCTTGGATAGTGCTCGGATGGGCAGTCGTCAACTCTGCTAAGCAGGGGTGGTAGGTGATGTTGGGGGGCAGTGTATGAAAACATCCATTGGTGTGCTGTACTGTACTTCACTTCTGTGGTCCCAACGACTGTTGTCGACCGCCTTCAAGCGGCACTGGCCAAGCGTGGTGAAGTATGGTCATTTAGCACGCACGACTCGCATCAATTGGGTTGTGCATGTTGATTCATCACAAGCACACGTGTCAACCCATACGCCTTGCTACCCAGGTTCTTGTACAGGGACATTGAGTTAAAAACAAACAAACGTGTCTTTATATTCTTGGTTCTTTCGGTAGTCACGTAGAAGGGAAATAATAAAATAATAAAAATATAAACCAAAATTCTCACGTTTCGACTGCAACACAAAAATTAAGAGAAAAACACCACTTTTTTCTAATGCTATTGCTGTGTTTTTCACACTTGATGATGATTGCTTGTGTTGCAGTCGAAACGTGATGATTTTTTTGTTTTATATATTTATTATTTTATTATTTCCCTTTACGTGACTTTACCGAAAGAACCAAGAATAAGAATCCCTGCAGTCACGAAAGCTGTAAATCAAAATAAAGAAAACGTGTCTTTGTTTGTGTTTCTCCCCTGTGATGGGACTTTGTAGGATGAACGTTGAGATTTATAAGGGGCCGTCCATAAATGACGCCACGCACCTCGGGGGGGGGGGGGGGTCAGACATTTGTGACGATGTGTGCCAAGAGAGGGGTAAGAAATGTGGCGTCGCATCAAAATGTGCAACTTAAAATAAATATAGACAACACGTTCTACTTAATTAAATAGACTTTTTAATAAATGTTTTCTCCGACAACATCAGAGTGCAGCGCCACGTTAAATACGCACTACAATGACAATAGTTTAAAGCGATTTGAAGCGTGTTTTATTTTTTTTGGGGGGGGGGGGGCAGAGCTTTGTGACGTCATATTGGAGGGGGGGGGGGCTGACTTTTTGTGACGCCGTGTGACAAGGGGGGGGGGGGTCCAAAATCGTGTGACGTCATTTATGGACGGCCCCTATCCGCGATAATTTGAGGCGCATTATTTTGACTTCCCTTAACATTTCTTTAATTTTTGGGGGGGTTAGATCGCGTTAATATAAATGTGTCACTCTGATTAAGAACCAGGCTACAGTCTACATTAGTGTGTTTTTTTGTTTGTATTCACTTTATTTATTATTATTTTCTATCTACATGACTTTACCGAAAGAACCAAAGAATATAAATGTGTCGTTAAACCCACCACCACCACCGACAACACGGCCAATGTTTGTCACGCGACACACAACGTGCCGATTCGTGATTAGTTGGGCACACCCGTGTGTTGGAGAGTGAACCTGCAACATTTACAATTTAGATTTGGTTTAACACGTGGGACTTAAATTTCCTCGTTAAAAAAACCCAAAGAGTATAGACCCTTGCAGTCACGAAATCTTCAAATCTAGAATTAAATTTTCTTGTCAACAAAACAGAACGAGATCCGTTATATTTGTTATTGACGTTCTTTATTTAACCATTCGAGACCCAAGGCTTATGATTCATTAACTTATTTGGCATCCTTCAAGAGGTGCGACCCACCCCGCCCCCATCGCGATGAAATTGTCTCTTCTTATTGACGTCCTTGTTTAACTATTGTCAGAGCAACCTGTGGTTAAATTCCTTTTGTAAATATTACCTTATTTAATATGCATGTAACCAGCTGAGATTCAAAACGTTGTCCAAGTACTGCATTCTTGATTTGAAGCTTTCGTGACTGCAGCAATCCATACTGGTTCTTTCGGTAAAGTCACGTAGGTATAAAATAAAATAATTCACGACGTTTCGGGCGCAACACAAGTGTCCATCATCAGGTGGGAAAGCATGGTCTGCTGCTGAGGCAGACTTTTTTAAAAGGTTTGAAATGGGAGTAGCCCAAGAAGTGGCCGGGGCTAGTGATGTGAATGTGATAAATTAGCATGTAGCTGTAAGATAGGAGAGCGGCCTCCTATAACCCTTGAGCTACACACATTTCAAACCTTTTAACAACAGTCTGCCTCAGCAGCAGACCATGCTTTCCCACCTGATAATGGATGCTTGTATTGCGCCAGAAACGTCGTGATTTATTTTATATTAAACCTACGTGACTTTACCGAAAGAACCAAAGAGTATGAGTACTCCATGTATGACTGGGTTAATGCTAATTGAGACTTTCAAAGTACATTTTTCAAGAGAAAACCCGAGTTACAAAAATAAAATACAAATAATTACAAAACCCAATTACAATTTCAATACACAACTGTCAAAAGTAGCACATATAATCTGAAGCAATTAAATTATACTCGTGAGTAATATCGAAAAGATAACATTTTAAGTGGAAAAGGTTTAGTGATTTATGGCTCTAATTTAACCATATGAGAACCCTTCAAGGTTTTCTTGAAATTTCCTTTAGGTGAGATCCAATCGAGATTGTCTTTTTAATGGCAGTGATTACAGCTTTGTCGCACGCTGCCCCTCTTACCAGGTGAGAACACATTGACAAGCCCTGCCTTTGGCAAGGAACAGTTACAAGGAGACGGGGTTTTCTCTTGTACGCTTATATTTTACTTCTGAAGACCCTTTGACTTAATCCATTTTTGTCCAAATTTGGGATGAGGACAGCGGCAGAGAGCGGCCATCAAATGGCAGCTGCGGGAATACAATGAAATGGCTCTTTGGCAAACTAGTTCACCTCTCGAAGTAGATCACCATCAGACTCGCTGTTTAAACATTCATTTGGCATCCCAAAAAGCCCTTGTTGAATTTTTTTTTATTTTACTATGCAAGGCCCACTGAGTTGTAAAGCTCTTTTTCAGAAGCGACCTCGCCACAAATGATAGCTCAACGAAGTGGCTTATCACGTGGAAATGTATGGCAGCCAAATATTCTAAAATGCATGTTTCTAAATGTGGAGGGGAAAATCGAAGCGCCCGGAAAACATTCCATGCGACCATGAAGAGAACGCGCAAACTCCAAATATACAAGCGTCAGAGTCGGGATCGATCCCACGACCTCCCTGTATTCCAGGCGAAATATTTAACATCTCGCCACCGTGACCTATGTGACAAAAGCGTTAATTTTGCGAAAATGCAATTTTGAGATTAAAGCTAAGATCTAGATATGAAGTCCTCATGCGAGACACCATAAGGATATGAATGTATTTATATATATTTTAATCGGTTCTTGTTTACACACTCTTACATAACCGTTTCAACTTTGAGCTACCTAACAGACCCTGTGTAATTAAACCTGCTTACAATTGCTATTTTTAATTGACTTGTTGGCTGAAGCTTGCTTTGCATGAACCGCCCAGAAAAATATTCCACCTGCCATTTGGCAGCATTTTGTACTTTATGTCAAATAATAATTAAACCAATCTATAAGGTTTCACATATTAACTTTGTTTTCTGAAGCGTTTACGTCATAGATAATCTTTTACATTACGGTCAGAACTTGGATGTCCTTTCATCATGGCAATATAGAACTTTGCTGACAATTATATAAAAAAAAATTATGGAAACGGATTTTTCCCTTCACTCTGGGAACTATGATATTTCATGTTTGCTATCAAAGGTAGAGTAATGAAGGTCCTATATTCAAGCTGTGCACGATTTTACCTGTTTAAGTTTATTTCCTCATAAATGTTAAAATGTGACTGAAGTTTACGAATAGTAAATGCGGCTTCCTCTGAATTAAAAGCCAAACTTCTACATTATTTTACAGTTTACGGAAAATTGGACACTCAGTGTTACAGTGATGATAGCTGGTATGTCCAGTGTTTTATATTTGCGGTAACTCGCTTTGACCAAAAGTAGTGACTGTGACATTTGGTGCGCCCTGACTTGTTGCTGTTTCATGAAATGGTTGCTCGGACATTTGGCGTGGAGTAGTTACGATATGTTGAGCGGAGTGGTGGCGCAGTGATGAGCGCACTCCGCTATGAACCCAGCAACCAGAGTGATTCCCAGCCATGGTTGTCACCGTTGGTGAGTGATTTTTAAACCGATGCTGAGCACCCACCATCACTCGCCCGCATGGTGAAGTATGGTCAAACAACCCCCGTGACTGAAACGGCCTCGGTCGACCTTCATCCAGCAGCACATTAAACAGGTGTCATAAGCTCCTGCCAGTTTGTGCTGTGGGCAGCAGATTGCAGTGGCTCAAAATCTGCCTTCAACCAGCAGTAGATGTCCAAAAGAGCTGTATGTGCACTGTAATATTCAATTCTCTTGTTATTTCTGTCCCGTGTGCAGTCATTCCCAAGCAACTGTTCATCAACCCCAGATTGGCCCAAAGGACTCAGGCTGCTGGCACCACCAGCCGTCTACCCCCCAGTTGCGGTGAGTGAACTCCCTCTGCTGTACGTTCTGCTGACACCCAAAGGTAGAAGTAAAGACAAGTAGAATTTAAATCTCCGCGCATTCTGCACCGCCGCCGTGCGTGACGGGTTGCCATGCGTTTGCGGTGGCCGTGCTGCATTGTGGGAAGCAGAGAGCAGGGTGGCAAAATGTGTTGTGATTCTATGCTCCTGCATCTATGCTACCCACCTTCGCCAATAAGTTCGGGCCAGAATGGTTAAGTATGGTCAAAATAACCCCATCACCCACACAGTCTGGAGAGGCCCTTGTTTTCAGCGGTGGTTTTACCAAAAAGGCTACATTGTAGGTAATCGCTTTATAGGAAGACATCATATTTTCTATTTATAGAGTGACTTGGTCCAAGCAAAAAGAGCTTTATAGCATCAGATTCCTTCAGCACAAATATATATTATGATTCTGTATGTCCCCAGGCTGTGTTTTTTGCACCTCGTGAATGAGAAGAAAAAGTTGAAGTTAAGATGAGTTTATCATTGTCGCATGCTAGTTACGGCAACGTGAAGTCTCTTGTTCTCTATACGTTTTAATATGTTAGCACGGAGACATCACCCAACCATTATATTAAGGTGTTTTTATATTCACAAGAGGTCATGGGATGCACAGCCTATGTACCTGCCTACAAGCTAAGATCTATTTATTTCTTGTAGGTTGTTATTAAAGATGCTGACGACATTTGTCAGGCTGTAATATCTGTGCACTTGTCCGTGACACGGCATAATCGGTAACTAATGAAAAATTTCGATCGAATTATGAAAAGAAGCATGTGCGTAAGCCGCAAGTTTGAACTAAAACATGACGTAAATTTTTTTTCGTAAATGCTCCACCATATATGCAGCATCAACGACCCAACCAATTGTTTAATCTGGGAGTACAATACCACCGACTCGCTCGTATTCGCCCGCCCCTTGCCACTCTCTCCGCTGCCGCTTTCCCAGCGCTGAGCCAGGTGAAGAAATTCCTGCCTCAGCTGGCAACTGCCAACGACGTCCTGCAGAGGCAGGTGCAGGAGATGCCGGCAGGACACTTCGATATCGAGCATGTGGACGACGGGCAGGATCGCGTCATCGAGATGGTGCGTGTGCCGCCCAGGGTTTGCGTCGACGTGCCGCTGGGCAAGCCCTTGCAATGGCGGTAGAGGCCTCTTTTTAACCCTTTCCCATTCCGATGACGTAGGTGTACGTCATCGGAACGGAATCGGAAGTTTGAGGGCGTGTGGCACAGTTTGACGCCAGCTATCATGCGTGCGGTCGTGTCGGTACAGTTCCCTGCAGCGAGTGTAGTGCCTTTAAAAAAAAAACAGCGCTTTACCTCTCTAAATGAAATTAACGCTGAACCGTTCGCGTGTTCCGAGATTCGGCGGTGAACGGGACCCGCCCTGCAACTTGCAGACGTCTCGGAACGGGACGGTGAATATTAAACATTAACCTACTTGCTCTGCTAATGTGGCCTAGTTCCAGTTGGAGGATGCCAGAAGTGCAATGAGTCACTGAATTATTATCACGTGGATCTGGAGCGGCCGAGAGTGCTTTTTTATTCGATTATTTAATCAGAAGATCACAGTTGATCATGACTTAACACATTCAGCTGGTGCCCTTTTCATACTTTTGGAAATGTAATTGTTCCGTGGCCTAATATCCACACAATGGGACTTGTTGACATGCGTATTGAAATTATCTTTTGAGTATACTGGTGGCGTTTTCATTCTCGTCGCAAATATAAAACACGTTCCTTCGGAGTGGGCAGGTAGGAACTTGGTTCAACCAATCCGGGAGCGTACATGTTTGGGAGGGGCGCACCTCTGGTTGGTTGCTGGCTCGTGGTCACGTGATGCACTTCAACCAATCTGGGAGCGTACATGTTTGGGAGGGGCTATGCACGACAGACAGACAAATAATCCCTGGTGGGCAGTGTGGAACTGTTCCTACCTGTATAAACCGCCACCGTACGTAACTCAACGATACACCGTTACGGTTAATTTTTTTTTACCTGCAGAGCATCTCCCTGGTTGAAAGGGGGGACAACTCGGACACGGACGAGGACGAGGAGGAGGAAGACTGCAGCTCGTCTGGGAGCTCATCCGACTCTGAGACGGCGGACGGCGGGGAAGGACTCCCGGCGATGCCGAGATTGCGCCTGAGCCAGAAGCCGGCGGCGCAAGCGCGACATCGCATCGTCGAGCTGGACACTCGGCCTGCTACGGACCAGCCGCCACGTGAGCCCCAGGGCACGTGACCAACACACGAGCATTCTCGTCCGCCAAATCCTCCAAATGGTGTCTGGATGTTCATTTGTGGTTGTTCTTTTGCCCCAGAGGACTTTCTCCTGGCTCTGTGTAAATGTCTTTCTGTGTCTCTGTGCAAATGTCTCTATGTCTCTGTGTAAACGTCTTTCGTTCTTTTGCACAAACCGACGTTAATTAGATCTTTCGCGCATTGACCGCCATAAAGCCCAAAGCGGGTCATTCAGTGCCTTCCCCATGTGGCCTTAGGGACTTATTTTCTTGTTGCATTGTTTTCCTCAACGTGCTTTTGGTCACCGCAACGTGTTAACATATTCCTGCCAAATAAATAAATAAATATGGGCCAGAATTCACGTGCTCTTTATCTCGGTGCGACCATCGCACTGCAGCGGAGACGCTGACCTTTGTCGATGACACTCTTAAGCGTGGCCTAAGGACGTTTATGAATGTGGCTTACCCCTCCATTTCTTTAGGGAATGTTGCATGCAAGCCAGAGTGGAGAAGCCGAGTGGTCGGCGCTTTGTTTTTGTCATCAATAACGACACGGCGATGATGCCGAGAGGATCGGCACAATGTATGGGTTCAGGGAAATCTGCTCGGTGACCCCCGGCAGGAGAACATGGCCCCCAGGAGGGTGGCGAATGTGGGCGTTTATCGGCGAGCTGCCCTGGTACGCGATGGATTTAAGTACGCGTGCCGTGGCCTAATATCCACAACGGGACTTGTTTATGTGTGTATTGAAATTATGTTTTGTGTTGCCATATTGAGTGATGTTCATTCTCCTCTGCTGCCCCTATAGCCCCTGCTATCCATGCAGTCCACTCCCTGTTCAAGTCAAGGCTCAAGACCTTCCTCTTTACCTATGACCGACTGCCAATTAAATATTTATGTATGTTTGAACTTCTTTCGCACCGTACGTAGCCAACCATCCTAATCGGAGGTGTGGGGGAAGGACAACAAACACAAAAAGCAGTTCTAAAGAAATTCGTTTTCAATCCAGATTTAAAAGTGCACATTTCCAGTGGCTTCCAAATATTGGAAGGAAGAGCATTCCAGACGGCCGCAGAAGCGCATCTAAAGTGCCCGATGCAGTGACCGTCTTTGTTCGATGGTTGGCCAAAACCCGCCACTTCGAGGATGGACCGGAGTTCGCGTGATGGTTTATGCTCACTTGCTCTACAGGGTCTTGAGATTCAGTCACAATTCCATGCTGTATAAATTCACATTGTACATTGTCTTATTGATGCATCAAGTTGTTTCTGTTTCTTTTTTTAAGCTTGTGTAAAATGTGTTTCAATAAATGCTACATCAATTGAGAATGTTGACATCTGATGGCTTACCTCAAAAACAAACTCGGAATGCCGGCTCTGAGTTTCACTCCACAATCTGCAGTCATCATTTACCGCAATTATTCCACGCGAGCAACATGCCAGAGGAAATTCCTCGCCCTGAACGCTAGAGAATTAGAGCCAAGGTCATTATTCACGTCAACTAGACAGGGGAGATCATATCTTCGTTCCGTTGGAAGACACTACAAATGGACGTGTTGGGACGGTGTAAGGTAAGCAATTGTAATAAAGGACTCTTTCTCAGTGTCGATCTCCGTTGTCCTTTTAACGAGACGAGTCGTGGGTTGGTGGGTAACGGATTGCATTGTAAATCGACTGGTTGCCGGTTCGGGCTCTGAGCCACGAAGACCGCCTTGGTGGGATGACTGTCATTGTGTGGGAGCGCAGAAGAGGCTTGAGACGGTGGGCCGTGCGGTTTTTGTTGTAATTCTGCTAGGGGGGGGGAATCCATTAATGGGCATTAGAAGATGGGTTATTGCACCTCGATGTGACAGTACCAGGAACGCCTCCTTTCATGCAGAGCCTAAGTGCTGTCGGGCATTGTGACGTGAGCATTAAGAACGGTGCACTTGCTCACGAACTGCCCGTGGCATCTCTCATATTAAAGGCGGTGGAATTAATCGTCCTTAATGCGCTTGAAGATGTGGGTGGTTTCTTGTTTTTGGTTGGGAAATGTACGTTTGTGTTTTTTTTTTATTTGATATGTGGAGACCATCAGAATATAGGCTCACACAACTTTTTTTCAAAATTGCACCACACTCGTAATTTATGGGAGGGCATACTCAACCCATAGCACCAAGTTGCCATGCAAACAGCCTACAACGGGGTGTCTTGAAGCCTGTAAAATCCACTGCTGGATTGAGGGTCGTGGGAGTAATTTTACCATACTGGACGCTGATCAGTGTTGGTAAAGGCCGTGGGCATCGGAGCAGGAGCATAAAAATACAGCCCAATCAACAATTGATTGTGCTCCTCTGCCCACTGCTGCCCACGACGTAGCCCGAAGCCACCGATAGCAAACCCGGGGTACACGGTGATCACCCATCCAAGCACGATCCAGACTATAACCTGCTTTAGCTTCTGAAATCACGTGCTTTCTGGCCGCTTTGAAGCCAACACACGTGCGTTCAGAATCAAGATAAGATCATTATATAGTTTTTTTTTATACACCATCATATTCAAATGGTGGTGGAGGGGGTGGGGGCGAGGGTGCTAGGCGTGAACAAAGCGTATGGGAGAATCGTGATGGCCGGTAAGAAACGGGTATAAAGACGAGCATCGCTAATGCATGTGACACTGCGTGTCCTCGTCTCAGCACCGCGCGCCTTTTGTAGCGATTCGAGCGCCGCGAGCCGGCCGGGGTGGGGGGGGGGTCTTGGCTGCCTCCCGTCCACGTGGTCCGCGATCGTCCCGTCGGGCGGCTGCGTGGCATTAACGCGGCGCCACTTGTTGAACAACAGGGCCGCTAATCAAGAGGCGGGCGCATTAGCGGATGGCGCTGATGTCTATCCGCCTGGGATGTGGTCGAGAGAGAGAGAGAGCGGTTAAGGGAGGAGAAGCAGCGTGTTCCCGATGTACTTTGGGGTCGTGCGTGCTGAGAAGGGAATGTCTATTGATGAATCTGTGACCTCCGCAAGAGCCGGTGGGTCGGGTGTCTTCTAATAGCTGCCTCGCTGCTGTTGTCACGCCTGCATTTGCCGTCCGTTTTGCCGAATGGATAGATGTTGAAACGGATGGATTATGAAAGGGATGGATGGTGAGTGGGCGTGCAAATCCTCACTCGCCTTGTGCAAACATGCGCTGTTAGCCCACGTTTATGGGTTCACAGCAGGCTGGGTTTGTGGGTTCGTAAGTCTGAGTTTCAGCCGCCTTTGTTGTTCGCGTGTCTCTGCCAGGAGGGTGTTCGTGGTGCAGCGTGTGCTGGTCGACGTGCTGATGTGGAGTGCATCATGAACACCATCTGATAAGGAAACTGTTGCGGTTTGTTTTTAATCAGGATGAAGATGTATTTATAATGTCCGGCATACCGTGTCCGAGGAGGCTCGTGAAGGACGCTGCTGTGCAGTTGGAGGCAGTCGCCCTCCAACAACAACGGAGGGCGGAGGAGCGACGCTCACAACAACGAGCGGAGCGCCGGGTGGCTAGGGCACAGCAAGTTGGTACAGTAGGGGGCACAGGTGGTGCATCAGTCAGTCATCTCGGTCATCTCGGTCAGTCGACCCGTGGCACCTGCTGGGTCTGCCCCGTGACCTCCTGCCAGCGGGCGTTCGACATTTCACGTGGCCTCAAGGTGCACATAGCCTGGCACAAGCGTCGTGGTGACGTCACCGCCACTTAGTGGCGAATGGCGGTTGTTGTATTTCAACAAATGTGTATACTGTACATTGCATTATTTTGTGTAAATTATATTGTGTTGATGTGCTGTGATGTTATTTTTTACTTGTGAAGCACCCTGTGGTAATTTTATTTGTGAATGCGTGGTATGAAATAAAGTTTCATTGATGGCGCACTCTCTCGTATGTGCTGAATACCTGTTTACGATGTGAACACAGTAGTGACACGAGAAGTGTTACTGGTAGGATCCTCCTGGTTACACCAGCCCACATGGGATTATTGTGTCCGTCCGTCTTGCAGGGAGGGGTAGGTGGGGAGGGAGGGGCTGGGTGGGGAGGGGAGGGTGAGGAGGGGCTGGGTGGGGAGGGTGGGGAGGGACTGGGTGGGGAGGGTGGGGAGGGGATGGGTGGGGAGGGTGGGGCTAGGTGGGGGGTGGGAGGGGTGGGGCTGGGTGGGGAGGGGCTGGTCACCCCGTGGTGCCCTTATAAAACCTAACGTTTAACCTACTCACGCCGGCTTGTGCCCGCCCTCACAGTCGGGAATATTTGCAGAATACACCACGCCGCCGTTGACCCTGGACATTGACCGAGCCACCCAACGTTCCTACCAGCTCCCTCCGCAAGAATGTGTTCTCCATAGAACGTCTTTTCAGCTCTCCAGGCCGGATCAGGCCCTCTCAAATATCCATTATGCATTTTTGAAAAATGTATATTCTTGTTGCGCTGTCGATTTGTTGGTGTACTAATTATAGTTATGCAGCTGTTCACAGAATTTAAAACATTGTTCAAGTAGTGTGATGATGATGATAACTCTGGCAAGAGAGAGCTGAGATGAAGACCAGTCTAGGGAGACACCATTGAGTGTGGATAGTCAACGTTTCTCACCTAAAGTGGCTTGTCATGTGCAAGTCATATACATTTAAATAGCAGCTTTTTTTCGTTAAGTTTTTGTTAGACAATATCTGCTCTTGGACAACTGCCGATACTTTTCCAGTTTAGAGTCACTTGAGTCTTCACACGGCAACATTATTTCTCAAATGGCATTATATCTCTTGGCTTTTGTGTTCACCTCGATAATGAAGGAGCAATGCTTGAAACGTCACTATAAGATTTCACTCTTGAGACCGCGGTAAACAGGCATCAAATACCACATTCACCGTGGAATTTAAAATTGCTTTATTCAGAAAGTTTGACCGATTGAATGTCTAGGACGAGCCTCCTTCGATAACGAAGGAAAAACTCGGGAAAGGTAACGGGAGGAGGCAAAGGGGGGCACACTGATTAGCAATCGGCACAGCTGTTCTGCCGCCACATTTTTAATGAATCGAGGCCACGTTGTTTCGCGACGAGCCCGTATCCCCGGATCACGGGGCCGGGACAGTTACTGCTCTGCAGGCCACGGACAAATCTGATCGTTGAAGCGATTGGCGGTCTAATGCTTGAGTGCTTAAGCGGCTGACATCAAGTGCCGCGCGCTGTCCGTGGTGCTGAACGGCGAGCGGGTCAGACGAGCCGACGAGATTTTGCCGCTCTCCGTGGTGCTGAACGGCTGACGTGGTGGCGAGCTCCACTGTTAAACAGGCGGTGGCGTGCGAGCACAGAGCGAGAGACGCGTTGACGGAGCAGCGGCGGCGACAACAGGGAGCGCACAATGCAACAAAACATCCCCATTCATCCAACACCGACAATGAGACTGCGATGGTTTGTTTGAGATTGGCTGGGCTGGTTCGCGTGCGCGAAAGGCTTTATGGGGCTGGTTAAACAGACGAGTTATCTCGGCGTACGTCGAGGTCATCTTTTATTTAATGCAGATGAGACCCGTTGGGGTAACGGAACCCAGGTCCACACCGCATACAGTAAACGTGTGAACGGCCAATACATTTACCTTGATAAACTTGATAGCCATACGGAGATGACTGAGTAAACATTTAATTCAAAATAATAAACCGTAAATTAATAGTTAGCAATAATTGCGTGTACATTTTAGAGCTACGACTCAATTTCCGGTGAGATGCACTCACAGTATAGTTAGGTACACACCACTGTGCATGAGTCAAAAAACATAAATTCACAATCTAAACAAATGTGGCTGTGTGTATTTATCGAATGAATGCCGTTATGTGATAACGATAACACCCTGAAGCGAGTCTCGTGAAGGATGTATGTTTGCGTGTGGCAGGAAACAGCTGTCACCGAAGACGAAAACCCAGGGGATAACACTCCATGTGCTGCGGCTGTTGTATTGTGATAATCCTGATTGGTATCTTGATGCCTTGCAATAGGTGTCCATTTGGTGTTTGAACGCCTTAACGCCTCCTGTAATATTGCCGGAACGGGTAAAGAATATTATTCCTTTCGTCAATTTAAGGGTGATTAGTTTGTGCATTAAGACCAATTGCCGTGAAGAGCACATTATAAATGATTGGTGATGTCACCGATAATGTTGCTGATGATGGTAGCAACGCCGTTGCTGCTGCTGGTTCTGCTGCTTATGATGATGATGAATTGGCTCGGATCCGACCCATGTATGGGCCTCCGGACGCGCACAGTAGTGCGAGTGTGGGTTGGTGGTGGGGGAGAAGGTTGGTGGGTGGGGGGTGGCGAGGTGGTTGGTGGATGGGTGGGGGTGCTGGCGTGTGGGGGCGGGGGGGGAAGTAGCAAGTTGTGAGTGTGCAATGTTCCGCTCCTGAAAATCGACGCTTCCTCCTCCCTCCTCCCCTCCTCCTCCTCCCGCTCCTCCTCCTCTCCCCTCTCCTCCTCCCCGTCCGCGTTCGCGTTGAGAGGGAGCGAGCGAGGCAGAGGCGGCTTGCATCGCCGCTGCTCGCACCACAAGGCTCGCCGCGTCTGCTCGGGCTGTCTTGCATCGAGCGCCGTGTTTGATATCCCTTGTGCTGCGCGTGTATGTGTGCACATACGTATTCGCGCGAGACACATAGACCGGCGCAGGGCGCATAGCAGGTACATGCCCAGTGCTTCTATCGTTTAGCAGCCGACGACCACTCCCCAAGCTCGGTTCAACATCGGTCCGTATTGTCTCGAATATCATCGTCGTCGTCGTCGTAATAATAGTCGTCGTTATCGCTACATTATCACAAGCCTCGTTCTAATTTAAAGACAGCGCGTGGTTGGTGTTTGTGTTTTTTTAGTTTGTTATGCCATTCGCCGGTATTTAAAAAAAATCGAAGTCTTTACGTGACATATTTGAAAATCCGCCGCTCGTGTATATTTACCACCGCTGGCGTCGTCAAGCGCGGAAAGCCGACAGCCTCGGCTCTCCGAGACAGAGAGACAGAGACCGCTCTCTCTCTCGCTCCACGAGTGGTTGAGACTCGTGTAGGAGGGGAGAGACTCGTGTGCGTGTGTGTGTAACAGACAGACAGAAAGAATCGACCGGTACCTGAGAGCGACTCCCCGCATAGAAGCGATAATCGGCACTAAAGAGAGATACGAATATGAGAGACGTCTAAGATAAGAGGACAGAGAGACACACACACTCGGAGGATAGATTGCTACAGAGCAGAGACTCATATGAGATAGGGTTTGTGTGCAGGGGCCTGGCTTTGTAGAGAGACTCATATCAGACCCATTCTCGGAGAGACTCGTGGAGGTGACAGATAGAAACTCATTACGGGAGGTAGCCTTGTGAGAAGAGAGAATCACATGAGATCCTCCGAGGAAAGATACTCGTGCATTGGAGAGACGCATACAGCAGGCGGTTGAATAGAACAGATATCCAAGGGAGCAGAGATACACGTTCGAGAGAGAGACTTACCGGGGAGACTTGCATAGGGAGGGATATCTTCATAGCCAAGAGACTCGTCATACAGGAGAGACACTCGCGTTTTGGAGATATATCTCGAGAGAGAGAGAAGAGGACGATAGAGACGCAGGCAGGAGAGAGTCGCGATCGGGAGAGGCCAGGGAGAGCCTTCGTCCACCCCTCGGGAGAGTCATCGTCTTCCCGACGCGGGGAGCGATCCAGCTCTGCGGGGACGCGACCTTCTGGGATCTCCGGTGAGCTGGGTGCCGCCTGGCTCTGCAAGACCGCGACCATGTCTCAAGACGCCGAAGAGGGACCCTCGTGGAAGAAGCAGACCCAGGACATCAAGCAGATATTTGACTTCAAGGAGGTGCTGGGCACGTGAGTCATCCCCCCCCCTCCCTTACTGCATGCCTTGCCGTCTCAGCCCTTGCGATGATGATGTGGTGATGTGGTGGTGATGACGATGTGGTGGTGATGATGATGTGGTGGTGATGTGGTGGTGATGTGGTGGAGTTGTGGTGGTGACAATGTAGTGGTGATGTGGTTATGATGTGCTGGTGGTGATGATGTGTTTGTAATGTGGTGGTGATGGTGATGTTTGATGTGGTGATGTGGTGGAGTTGTGGTGGTGACAATGTAGTGGTGATGTGGTTATGATGTGCTGGTGGTGATGATGTGTTTGTGATGTGGTTGGTAATGCTGTGGTAGTGATATGGTGGACAGATGGTTATGTAGTGGTGATTATGTAGTGATGCTGTGGTGGTGATGATCTGGTGATTTGGTGGTGATGTGGCGGTGGGGTAATCGTGATGATGGCGGCTATAATAGCTATTGCCATAGAGTACAGCATTGTACTCGTATAGACTATATCAGTGCTTGGTTTAGTGCCGACATTGTAATAATCAATATCTGCGATCGTCACCATGATAATCGCTGCAATGAACGATATCGCTGACACCATTACATCATCGGCACCAGCATCAACATCAACCTCACTGCTGTAATCATCGTTATCACCGGCACCGTCAATGTTGTGCTAATCGTCGTTAAAGTTGCATTTTACACCACACTGATCAACATCGTTAGTGTCGTGATCATCATCAGCATCGTCGACACCGACATCATCATAGACACCAACATCATCATCAGCATCATTGACTCCAACATTTTAATCATCGACAACATCACCATCAACAACATCATCATTCATGGTCATCAATAATGCACCGGAGCTCGTGCCCGTCACGGGGCTGTCGCGATATTGATTTCGCGGCGTCACGTGACACGCCGCGATCGTTCCCCGTTGTGCTCATGACAACGCTCTTATCGTTGGCGCTGTTGTTGTTGTTGCAGTTGTTGTTGCCATCGTTGTCGTTCTCGTTGTTGTTGTTGCTGCTGCTGCTCTGTGTCCCTTTACCCACAAGCTGCTGTCCGTGCGTCCCCACGCCATAGCCCCTGGGAAATGTTGGGCAAACGTCGGAACCAAACGTTTGCCCAACGGTTCCAGCCACATGCCAACGTCAGCACAACGTTGGCATGTTTACTAAGGGGGATTCTCGTGAGCAGCCCCTGCTCCTCGGAGCTGCCCTTCCCGTAGAGCCGTACTGTGTGACCTACTGACTCCGAGTTACTTGCACGGGGCCAGGCAACAGGACTTTTAACAAAGGCACTAGAACTTCAACCTCTGGACGAGTTCTACAGGCGCGCGCAGAGGACTGCTCTTGGTTTCACTAAATGGTCCGATAAGCACCGTGGAAGTTTGGAATCGCAAGCATTGTAAATTCAGAACTTTATTCTCAATATACATATATTGTTTTTGCGGTTGTCGGTAGACCGCAGTAGCACGTAGATAATAGCCACGGCCGTAGCAACAGGTCCACTGGCGATGTGGTGTGCCACGCGTGGGGATTTAATCAGAAAGAGGAGCTTGTGACGGGTGGGAGTTGTGCCAGGATGAAGGAGGCTAGGATAAGGCAGTCTGGAAGTTCGGAATGGAATGTGGCAGGAGAGCGTTGTAGATGTCGTCTAGAAGAAGAGGTTATGATGAGCGGGACGTGTATGCAGCATGGAGATGGACAGGTCACCAGAACAGGCATTCGAGTGACACCCAGAGGCTGACGGCCAAGGGGAAGACCTAAAGTCAGACTGTGGTGGTGAGATGGTAAGGACAGTCACTGAAGCACGTGTGCAGCGAGGGGAAGGCCTCATGTCATGGCAGTGATGGGTGAGACTTGTCAGGGCCAGATCTCTTGAAGGTCGGATGGGAGAAGGACAGGAAGCGATGGCACAGTGGTGGGGTGGGGGCGGGGGGGCATCGGTGGCTTTGGCCACGGTGACCCCTTGACCTTGTGCACTCCCTCCGGGAGGAAACGTCGACGAAAAATGTTGATTTTTGCATCACACAGTTCGGCATCGTGTTACTTCCACTGTGGGCACAATGAAAGGATTGCTCGATGTTTATTTTCCGATGAAATTATTGTTGTTGTTGTTGTTTTTGGCGGTGGCGAAAACGCGTCGACGTCTCGCATCATCGCCAACAGATGTGTGTGTGTCCGTGTGTGTCCGCCCCGTCTCAGCAAAGATGTACACATCATCTGTAAGCCCGATCCCTGAAACAACGTGAGTGGGATTCTGAGTCGATCGCTATTTAAGTGGCGATACGCAAAGAGAAGCAAAAAAGCGATAAGATCCGGTGGCTCAAGCGGCTGCGTCGCGACTCCCGTAAACGAGTTAGCACATTCACGGCCGCGTATCTCTCAAAGGAATCAGAGACATGACTCGTTTGCACACACGTATCGCTATGGAGCCGGTGTCCAGACCTCTATTCCCGCTCACGGCTTTCGTCAGTGGCACGTGGACTGCGCGTGGACCTCTCCTTCACAAACCGCACTGAGCAGCGACGTCAAGTCTGCCCAAACATACGCCGTGACCCACACACCATGGGGAGACTTTCATTCAGCAGTGGATTGATAAAAGCACTGCAAATTATTATTATTATTTTCACATGCTTCGGAATTATGCTTTAAATATGGATACCTAGGTTTGTACACAATGCGTCTGCACCAGGGAAAACTGGATTATTGCTTTAACAAGCCTTGTGAGGTGCACCGTCTATGTTCGGAGTCCCAAGCCAGTGGTGGAAATTCCCCATTCCTATGACAGTGCCTGTTACGTTACGCGCGGTACAATGCAGTCGTGTTTTTGTTGTTGTTCTTGTTGTTGTTGCCACCATCGCCATCAACGCATATGATGTACGATCGTCTGACACTGTGAAGCCGAGACAGTGGACAAATATTAACACGAGTCTACGGGTGACGGACCCCACATTTCACTGTACGGCTTCTGCGCGTGTCTCATCTGCCAACGTAAGACTATTTGTTTAACAGCGCCGGTAATGGCTGCTGAAACCTCGAAGGTCAAAAGCGGTTCACATTTTATCTGCTTAAACCGACGCTGTTATGGATCAATGAGATGGAGGATATATTACTCTTGGCCGAGAAAATATTTCATTATTTTGAAATGAGGACAGGCGGACATTTCCCTGTTTATTTATATGTGTATATATAAGCATGACTTATACGCTGCCGTGATGTAAATGTCAGCACGCACTGGAGTTGCAATCCAGAGGCCGCCAGTTTCATCTCCCGCCGTGGCAATTAAAACAATGTTCCAGCTTTTTCGATTTAAAGCTTTCGTGACTGCAGAGATTCATCTTCTTCGTTCTTTCGTTAAAGTCACGTAGAATGGAAATAATAAAATAATAATGAAATATAATGAAATAATTCTCACGACGTTTCAGCCACAACGCAAGCAGCCGTCCTCAGGTGAAAAACAGGTCTGTCGAGAAGACAGAGCCAGACTCTGAAGAACAGGTCTGTCGAGAAGACAGAGAAGACAGAGTCTTCTCGACAGACCTGTTCTTCACCTGAGGGACGGCTGCTTGCGTTGTGGCCGAAACGTCGTGAAAATTATTTAATTATGTTTTATTTTTATTATTTTATTATTTCCCTTCTACGTGACTTTACCGAAAGAAGCAAGAAGAAAATGTTCCAGCTATAACCCCCCTTCTGCTTATACCCACCCATCAGTGTCCACCACGGCGTGGTGGGACAAAGTGTGGGTTACTCGCATTTCTTCCAAAAGACGTGTGGAAAAGTCGGACAATCAACCGGATGAGCGGGTTTCTAGAGAGAGCTCCCCCTAGTGGAGGCCCTTCTGGCAGCAGTGCTGTGAGCCAGGAATGAGAGGGCTGCACCTCTATCTAAATACTGGATGTAGAGCATGTGCCAAATGCGATCGCTCACTAGTCAATTATACGCACGCACAGTGGCTAACGAATAGTAAAATGCATGCTCGTATCACAGAAACATCGCAGGACACGTGGATGAAACGCAAATGTTTGATTTCATCTATAATGATCAAATACCCCTCTTGTTGCTCAATGCTTATACCTTTTGATGTATAGAGGGTGGGCCAAAAGCCAGGGCACATTGGATAGCAATATTTGTCTTAACAAATTGCATCGGGTTATTTAATTTTAACAAATGTTTAAGCTAACTTTCATGAACGTTAATTCACGATGCATTAATTATCTTTTGAAATTAATTTAGGACTTCCCTTAGCATACTGTACACAAAAACGAATTGAACTCGTTCGTCTTTGGTCAATTTTCTTTACATTCTAAATGTCATCTGGAAAGGAGGAAGAAGAAAACACGAGATTAATAATGACACTAAATACAATATTCACTGAAAAAATACATATTAAAATGTTTTAATGACAGTGTTAAAATAAATTAAATAACTCGAATTAATCCTGAATTGCGAGCCACCCTGTGTAGCAGCATCCACATGCAATCGCGTCTCAAGACGCTGCATGCAACAGGGGACATCCCAGGGAAAGTGAAGATATAATGTGGAGCGAGAGAGGTCTCAGGCACTGAAGGTTGAACAGTTGCAGGAAGTCGGCAGCACGGAGGTCTGTGGAGAGGAAGTTCGAGGCTCCAAGGGTAGCAGAGGTCAAGCGACCGAACCTCCCACCGAGTGAAGGTCAACTGCGGTTGATGGAGCGGAGAGAGTGCGTGGAGGGGAGTAGAGTGAGATGAGAGGGGAGAGGTAGGAGAGTGCGTGGAGGGGAGTAGAGCGAGATGGGAGGAGAGAGGTAGGAGAGTGCGTGGAGGGGAGTAGAGTGAGTTGAGAGGGGAGATACAGAAGAGTGCGTGGAGGGGAGTAGAGTGAGATGAGAGGGGAGATACAGAAGAGTGCGTGGAGGGGAGTAGAGCGAGATGGGAGGGGAGAGGTAGGAGAGTGCGTGGAGGGGAGTAGAGTGAGATGAGAGGGGAGAGGTAGGAGAGTGCGTGGAGGGGAGTAGAGTGAGAT